ACGTAGACATACTCTTTCTAACCATCAGAAGCTACTCCCGGAGAGCCGCTCACCCACGAATGGAAAAGGCACATAAATACCACACCCAGCCCCTGCATACCAGGTACGCTGACACCGTAACTACGCTTGTACACACCACAACCCAAGCTGAGCCAGCACGGTGAATCCCCAGCCTATCACACACCAGCAAGCAAGCTATACCTCTCCCCACCAATCTTAAGTGACCGGACCTCTCTACTACCCCGGAGAGGCCACCGACCACCAAGAGCGCGAACTAAAGGGAATCACTCCCTCAATAGGCCTCAGAGTCAACCTAACTACAGTTCAAGATTTAGTCCCAAATTACCTTACGACCATGGTGCGCCGTCTTCGAGCCAGCCCAGATACAGAATCTAAAGCGCCAACAGAGACAGCATACGCATACCCCTAGTCCCAGTTTTTAGTCAAATCACACGCTGCTAGTCCACACTAGCGGAAACACCACACACACCCCCGCGACTAAATCCATTCTAACACACCGGGACCCAGACATAAAGGACCAAAAACGATTAACAAAAGATGATGCCTTCACATGATGGTAGATTAGAAGCATAAACAAAAGCTTTAAACAAAGAAAGTGAAATTTTATGGAGTAACAAGACTATAAAATCTCAATCAGTCGACTCCGCACCTCAGCTCATCAGATACATGACACAGATGCGCGACCTCGTACCTATCGCCCGGACGACAGAAAAGCCCAGCCGCCACCTCTGCGTATACCGTCCGCAATGACAAGAGGCAACATCTATCCATACACTACCAGACAACAGCATCCGACTGATCATGAGGATGGGAAAGCTCTCCGAGTAGCGACCCCGGAGTCGTCGAGACACTCAGTGCGGCCGATTCGAGCAGACCGCGTATGGCACCGTCTACCACAATTGCAAGGCACAGAATGACCCCCAACTACCCAGAGAATCAGATCTCACGACAGTCACAACTCCAGAGACGACTCGAGCACACCCATCATACACATCCTCTCTCACTGAACGCGAAAACGAACACCCTCCAACTCTCGAAATTGCCGCACCACTCAACATCGCCCGACATCCTCGAGCACACTACACCAAAACGTACACAAAGCAATCGGACAGCGAATTGATACATATCGCCCACGCGATTGCCTATACAACCCACTCGTCACCACAACCCGCGATAACGGTTCGACTCGAGCGAGCAGCGCGACCACTACACTCGCGCGATGCTGCTGAAAGTGAGGCTGTGACAATGAGCTGATGCTGTTCCCGCGAGAGAGCGCTCTTAAACAAGCGAACGTAGATCTGAGAGATCCAAAAACAGGCCGCTTCCCAGTTCCATCGTATCGGGGCAACCAGTACATTTTCCTATTGTATGATTATGACTCTAACAACATCATCGTCAGGCCTCTCATCAACAGAAAAGCTCCAACGATCCTGGCCGCCTACAAAGACGTCCACGACATGCTGGTACTCCGAGGCCACAAGCCCCAGCTCTACACGCTCGACAACGAATGCTCGTCCACGCTGAAGAATTTCCTCGCTACAAAAACCGTCCACTTCCAACTCGTCCCACCGGGTACCCACCGCCGCAATGCAGCTGAACGTGCCATCCGCACCTTCAAAAACCACTTCCTATCAGTCCTTGCAACCACGGATCCTACCTTCCCCATGAATCTCTGGTGCGAACTCCTACCCCAAGCTGAAATGACACTCAACATGCTCCGCCCATGCCGTCGCAACCCCAAACTGTCCGCCTATGAGGCCCTCCACGGCCGCTTTGACTTCAATGCCACGCCCCTTGCACCCGCAGGCATCCGCGTGCTGTGCCATGAACCTTCTGGCAAACGGGGTTCCTGGGCAGTCAAAGGCAAAGACGCTTGGTACGTCGGCCCAGCCATGAACCACTACCGATGTTACACCACTTGGGTATGGGAAACCCGCAAAACACGAATTACTGACAGCCTCGAATGGTTCCCCCCATCACACCTACATGTACCAGAACCCACACATGCCGAACAAATCCTAGCAGCAATCACGGACCTGAACACCATCCTCAAAACACCACACCGGCATCAAGCACTCCCTTCCGCGCAACTTCAACGTGACGTTCTCACCACTCTCCACGGACTCACCAAACCGACAGCGCCGCTTCCGAGGGTGCCAGTGCACCAGCACCGGATCCACCTACCAAACCATCAACCAACTCAATACTACACGACAATACACTCCATGACGACACCATCCAGTGGATCTGCCACCACCTTGAACCCGATCCTGACTACCACACAGCCAACAAAGCTTTCAATCCTGACACGGGCCTCCTCGCGGAATACCGTGAACTCTCCAAAAGCAGCGATGGCCACCTCTGGCAACAAGGCAATTGCAAGGAATTCGGCAGACTACTTGATGGCTACAAAGAAACCAAAGGAACCAACACCATGAAGTTCATTCCCAAAACAGACCTACCTCCCGGTCGCATACCAACCTACATGCGAATCGTCGTCGCCTTCCGACCACAGAAAGAAGACCCATACCGTGTGCGACACACCGTAGGAGGCGACAAAATCGACTACCCTTTCGAAACCACAACCAAAACAGCCGACATGACAACCACAAAACTCCTACTCAATAGTGTCCTAAGCACACCTGAAGCCAAATTCATGACCATGGACATCAAAGACTACTACCTCTGCAACCCACTCCCACGTACTGAATACATGAAGATTCACATCTCTGTCATCCCAGAAGAGATAGTGCAACAATACAAGCTCCGTGAACAGAACCTCATCGATACCGGGCTATCTGCTACGTGGCACATCGACTGGGTGCATGTACGGCCTACCCCAGCGGACGCGTTAGCCAACGACCGACTCGCCCCCACTCGCCAACACGGCTACCACCAATCAGAAACAGAGTGCCAGACACCTTCAAACACTAGACTCTGCCATCTCATCGTCCTACAGTCGATGACTTTGGAGCAAGTACGGGCAAAGAACATCCCAAAAGAACATGCCCAGCACCTAGCAACGATCCTACAAAAACAATACACCATCACTACCGACTGGACTGGAGCGCTCTACAGCGGCATCCACATGAAATGGGACTACACCAACCGCACTTGTGAGAGGTTTCTTCCCTTTGAACTTCACAGTAAGATTGAAGTGGGTCTGACATGTGAGTTGGGTAGGCTGGATAGACTCTACCTGACACCTAATTTGCAAGCAGCCAATGAGCGATTCATGACACATGCCACAGAAGCTCTCAAGAAACGCTATGCCAATGAGGCCAGTTTTTCTCTGTAGCTGGTTCCATCTTAAAACAATGTTGTTGTGTACTACAGTTTTAATGATTTGATGCCAGGTACCGGTATGGTACAGCACCTCCCGACACTACCAGTACACTGTACACCATTGGTTGGGAGTCTTGCATGGATCCAGTCCGGCCTGATCATCAACCAGAAGGTCCTCAGTTTGTTGCCCCTGATCCCACAGCAACTACCAGGTAGCTAGCTAGTCACCCCCCCCCCCCTCTTATTTGCCTGGGGGGTGGAGAAATCCTTTGCTCATCGTTGCCCAAGGTTTTTGGCGAGGCATCCATTGCTTACCACTGCCAACTGCTGCCTGCCACTATCTTTACCACTGTTTACCACTATCTTTACCGCTGTTTACCACTACCTCTACCACTGTTTACCGCCGTCTTTACCACTGCTTTCTTAACCGCGCCGACCCGCACAGTAACGGCACTCGGACAAGCACTAGCTAGCTGGTACAGTACCAGGTATGCCGTACATCGCACGGCTGCACACGTCTCGTTCTGTGGTTCCGTGGCCACATCTGTGACAGACCCCACGAAACCTCTGCGCCACGGCACAGCCGAAACGGCATAAACTTTGCACCACCTCCAGTGCCGAGCGCAAGGGGATGGGCAAATCTCACTATCCCTGTAGTGTTCTCAACAGGAGTGACTCAGAATGTCAGAAAAAGGATAAAATGAAGCTTTTAGCGGAAAGCAAGATTCAATTGGATTAGATTGAATTGGATTAGATTGAATTGGATTCCAAATAGTACTGTTATTTGTATAGTAAACTGGAATTCAATACAATCCAATTCAATTCAATTCAATCCGATCTAATACAATAGAAAAATTGCATCCCAAAACAAGTATTCGCTTTTTCACAGACACTTTTACAAAAAACGCTATCAAATACAATGCAGGGCAATCGGCAAGTTTGCTCATCCCCCAAGAGAAAAGCAGAAGAACGAGCAGACCATGCGCAACAGCCCAACAACCAGCATAGCAAAGAGACACCACAGCAAGAAGCAAAAAGACCAAGGCTCCCATGCAACAATAATACAACACAATCGGCCCCTTCTATTTGCCTCCAAGTCACTACTGATTTTAAGGATGTCCCACGGGGGATACTGTGTTCCTTGGTTTTAAGAAATGAAATAACACGAGAATAGCACGAGAACAACAACAAAACCTCCATCATCCTAATCGTCCCAGCTTGGATGGGCAATAGACATGTGATAGCTTTGTTTTGGCTTATACATGTCATAAACTATCTTGTACAGTACCCTTCGGGGCATCTGATGCTGCTAAAAGAAACATAAAAGGGGTTAATGGATACTAGCACTCTATCGCCAAAGTTAACAGCCCCGTCATGGTTCGACGAGTTTTGAGATACCATCTTTAGCTAATGATTGTGGATGCCCATTAACATGTTTTATGTTTCTTTCACCTCACACAAACAGACCTACTCCTCCTCTACAAGGCATACTATAACACTCTATGCAAACTCTCAACAGGTGTCGAGCATGAATTGGTTGAAGGCAGCATCTCCAAAGGAAGGTTTTGTTGTTGCTGTTGTGCTATTCTCGTGTTGTTTTCAAAGCAGGACTGAAACTGGCTCTTACCCCGTGGGACATCCTTAAAACGCTATTTCATCCGAACCCCGTGACATCGAATTTCCCAGCAATGGAGATGAATGAGTTAGACAATTCATCTCAGGCTCAAGCCGCCGAAGAGGATCCAGGTGACCGTGACGACGGCATTGAAGTGCAGAGGGATCAAAATATAAACCAAGTGGATCCTGACGAGGAGGGCGAAGATGACAATGAAGATAACCACTGGGCTGTACACAATCCCTGTGAGCCCCTTGTAGAGATTCAGCGTGACAGGAACATGAACCCACCACCAATCCATCCCGAGGCAGTTTCTGTAGGACCAGTTTTGGTGCCATTAGGTCCTCACGATCCCCTCCGAATGGCAATCTCCACTGGAGAACACCGATGGGCAACTTGTGTCAAGAAAGCCATTGAAGATACACTGATCTAGATCCCATGTCAGATTTCTGGTACGCACAACTCTCGTTGGTCGATGGTGATGAAGACGAAATGTTGGCCAGAGCGTACAAGATGCAGATCTTCCAAAAGGAATACAAGATTATAGAGTCAGTTGGTCAAGCACAGCAGATTCTGCAAAAATTCCTAGATCTGTTTCCAGGGTTCTTGCTGGCACTGGAGTATTACCCCCAAGAAGGCAACTACGCCCTCACATTGGACTGAGTGAGATTCTACATGAGTGTTCTGGACACCAACAAGGATGCGTTTGAGCTGTATCTCAAGGTGATGTACTACATTTTTCATGCCATGGCTCCAGATCTGTTAGCTGTCAGAGAAGGTGCCTGCTCAATCCTAGAATGTGAAGACTTCGATTGGAAAAAGGTGTGTTCATTGATTTGATGACTATGTCTTTCGTTATAAGAAACATCATTTCCAAACTGTTGTTGTTGACATGACAAATCTTCTCCTTTCCAATTTAAAAAAGAACTTTGGCCTCAGGCTTCTGAGGCCTTTCTGGGGAGAGCTTTTGACAGTGTATCCAATTCAATTTGTGAAAGCCAAACACTTCAACACGGGTTTTTTCTTGAACACACTAGTGTCCATGAGTAAGAGATTTCTTCCCGCTGGTCTCCACAGTACGCTTGAAGTGGGTCTGACATGTGAACTGGGCAGGCTGGATAAACTTTACCTGACACCCAGTTTGCAAGCAGCCAATGAGCGATTCATGAAGCACTTCACAGAAACTCTCAAGAAACGCTATGCCAATGAGGCCAGTTTTTCTTTACAGGTTGGCTGAAGCCTTGTTGAAGGGTCCATGCCATGCATGATATTTTAAAAATAGCAAGGGTGGTTGGCGGCATAGAACATAGCAATCCAACTGACGTACATGTACTTGTGTCTGAGACTAATCTTCTTGACCATACCGTAAAATGACACCTTCCGAGTAGCCACCCCAATGAAGGAATTTTTTCGCCTCCCTGTGGCTTTAGTGTGTTGTAAAAGGGTGTAGAGGTAAGTGTCCAATCATATTGCTGGTGCCGGTAGAGGGGCTGAAGCCAAAGCTGCCAGAACGGAGTATTTCCTGCTATTGGGTGCTGGGTGCATTTGTTTTCCAAGCTTTCAGCTTGAAACTTCCCATCCCGGTGTGCGGAAGCTACTGTATGTACTGGTAGCGGTACCGGTACACGTTACAGTAGCCAGTACCGGTACATGTACATTTTTTGCGTAGCGTTGCACCGCGAACCCAAGAACGAATGATTCAATCTTCCAATGCTTCCGCGAAACAACAGGACTATTGGGGAGCTTCAGCACGCTATGGGTTTCCATCGTCGTTCGAAGTGACCACAGCAGCACGGCCAATGGTGGCTTCAATGCAAAGGAGATGCCAAACAACGTTCTATTGCTTTCCCTGTTGAGGAAGGACATGACAGAGGCTTCTTGCAAACTGGACCAAGAAACACTGGATGCAGAGCGATGGCCCATGAAGGAACATGGAAGGAGACGCTTCTTTCGAATTATTCGTATCCTCTATCTGTCCTACTATGCAAGCACTGGTTCTCTGGTGCCTTATCTACCAGTTTACTATCACTCGCTTGGTCATGGTGGGCAGGTCATTGGAGTATTGAGTTCACTACGGCCATTTGTGAACCTGTTGGTTGCGCCGTTGTGGGCCATGTTTGCTGACTGCAGTCAAGACACACTGCGTGTACTTCAAATCGCTGCCATGGGATCGGCTTTGGGCTATGTTTCGATAGGGGTGCAATCTGATGCGACATCCTTGATTCTTGCCGTGATTGTCACGTCAATATTCTATGCTCCCATTAAGACCTTGATGGATTCCATGGTGCTAGAAAGGCTGCAAGATCTCGAAAGGCTGTCTCCTGACGACTCCAAGAACATCAAAGACGATGATAATAACGAGAGCTTTGGAAAGCTGAGGCTTTGGGGCCCGCTTGGATTTGGACTTGGATGCAGCCTCGCCGGAACTGTGGCAACACATCAGTGTAACAATACGCAAATGGATGTGTCATGGCTTCCTGAATGGGCACGTCAATGGAACAGTCTGTTTTGCGAGAGTCTCGTGGGATATAGGAGTCTCTTTGTCATCTTTGCACTCTTCTCGATTCCAATGATGCTGTCTCTGCTAGCAATTCCCCCGCGAACGCCTGGACTGGCGAAAACCGGACCAGAGCCCCAGCACATGAAGCAAAAAGACCTGAACGTAAAGCCTGCTGGTTTCTCGTCCCTACACCGAGGGCTCTGCACTATTGTAGAGAACCAAGATACGAGGTTGTTTCTATTGCTGGTGTTGGCCATCGGTGTCAACAATGGGGCCGTCGAGACCTTTTGCTATGTTCGCATGAGGGAAGTTGGTGCTACAGGTCAGCAGATTGGATTTAGCCGGCTGTTCTCGGCAGTTGCTGGCACACCGATGTTTTGGTTTTCCAGCAAACTGAATGGCATCATTCAGGGCCGATCAAGAAGAGTCAGCGCGGAAATCCTAATCCTGATCTTGTGCCTGACGAGCTATGCCATACGCTTTCTCCTCTATGCATTGATCCGTAGTCCAACCGATGCGTTGCCCGCCGAGGCAATTCGAGGAATCACCTTTGCAGCATTTTACAGCACGGCGAGTATCTATGCTCATCGCCATGCCCCGGAAGGCTTCAAATCATCCATGGTAAGTGCCCCGCTACCGGTACGGTAGCCAGTCGGACTACACGGTTTCTTTGGCAACTTATTATTGTTCCAACGAAATAATGCATGCATGCGGTTCGACTGATTGATTGATTGGATTAGTTGATGGTGGTAAACTCGCTGTATGGCGGTTTGGGTCAATCTATTGGGTCCATGGTAGCAGGAAGAATTCAGCACCGCATTGGCACTGTTCGCATGTTCCTGTCCATCTTTCAATGGGACCTGGCGTTGATTGGGCTTGTCCTTCTCTACGTTACCTTCCTTGCCCAGCCTGCACCAACAAAAGCACTGCTTGCAATGGACAAAAAGATACGATGAACTCCACTGTGCTTGGCTGCTGGGACGGTATCTTAGTTCTGGTCACATCTCCACTTCACTACATTTCAAGAACTAATGCCACTACGGTATGTGGAGAACGTAGCTGCTTAACTTGATAAGTTCCACAGCTGTTACTCGTACCCTTGTAGTTGGGTAGGGAATTAAGCTGTCCCTTGCTTCGAGCTGTACCAGTACCGGTAACAGGACAAAGTTGCAACCGGAATGGAGAGGCAACCCCCCAAAAGCCCCCAGAAAGTAAAACAGCTTACCGCTCTGCTGGTTTATAAACGTTACCGGTTTCCGAACGCAGCAAAGAGATCTGGAGGGACGACCGCACCAAGAAGTCGTCGGGGGTATCATCGAGCATCCCGGTAGACATACCTACTAGCACATACCGGTAGCAGTCCAACTACGAATAGAGTATCACGGTATCATCATGGATAATCGAGGCGTGAAGCGACCCCGTAGTAGCACTCCAGGAGGAGATGGTGCGTAATTTTGCATTCAAGGCGATGTTGTGGATGTGCCTATTATTTTGTTGTACTTGAGTTGTGCTAACATGGTTGGCGTTGTTTGATTTGTTCTTTTTGTGTTGGTGATGGTTGGACTTTCTTGTTACCGCACGCTACAAGAACAGATAGCACTACGAAGAACAAGAAGGACAAGCTGAAAAAAAAGAAAAAGAACAAGCCAAATCCCAAGAAACCAGAAAGCAAAGATGAAACTACCAATTCCTTGGAAGAGTGAGTTTTGTGTTCCTAATATATTATTCAGGTTGTGGATGTCTGATTCCATGTTTACTGTTTGTTTGCTGTTTTATTATATTATTTAAAATATAACAGAACCGCCACAGCCGACGGTCGACACATGGCCAAGCTGCTGTCGACATTTTCCAAAATCGAAATGAGTCGGTTCGAAGCCTTTAAACGGGTATCTTTTCCCTGCGATGCCATTAGCGACTATGTGGCCCATTGTCTGGCAACACGTCAAGGAGCCCTGCCTCGGCCGCAACCCGTTGGAAAATTTCTCAATTTTGACAACCAACAACCTCGTTTGGAAGATTTGGTGGTTCCGGGTCAACAAGAAGAAATCACCACTGTGGTGGCCACTTTGGCCAAGGCATATGCCCAACGATTGGTGGCGGCTGCCAAGGTCGTCAAACAACAACAACAACAATCTGCAGAAGAGACGAGCAAAAGTGGGGAGACAACTTCTACTGCGAGTAGCAATAGCAACAACAACAAAGAAACCGCCATTCAACCAGAACATGTCTTGCAAGCCTTTTATGCCCGTCGGCAGCAAGGACAAGATCCAGGTTTCTTCTTGCAAGCCAACGAGTGTATCAACATTGCCACACAACCCATGGACAACAACAATGCGGGCAAGGAACAAATGAAACTGGTGGCGGCATTGGCCGCACAGGAAGAGTGTGATAAAACTTTTAAAGAATACAAGGAGGCTTACGAGAAGAGAAAACTTGACGAGAGCAAGAGAAAAGCTGATAACGAGAGCAATAAGGAAAAGGCAAATAACGATACCGAAATGAAGGAGGAAAAGATGAATACAGAGATGAAAGAGTCTGACGAAGAGAAACCGGCAACGACTACAACTGAAGTAAAAGCCCCTGCCGCAGAAGAAGCCACAACAAATAATGCAACAACAAAACCTGAAGATACCACAAAGACAACAACAACAAAACCTGAAGATAGTGACAGTGGAGACGACGATGAGATTGATCTAGAAATGGACGAAGATTGAGCGAAACCAAATAAAGAGTGGATGAGTTTCGGTTTCTGGACGCACTAGTCGTCAGTTTTTTGGGATACCAATGAATTGTTGTGCACGACCGCCAATATGTACCGTACCGTAAGGCAGAGACACAGCGTATGGTAGCCACAATTGTGTGTACGAGTATGAAACCTGCTACTGCTAGAGCTCCCAAAAGAAGGGAAACAAAGAAGTGCCTATGTCAATGTCCACGATCTTCACAACGGAAGGGCGAAACGATGCTGTTGAATCAATCACTCAAACTAGAATTAGTCGACTGACTCGGCTCGAATCCTGTTAGATTGATAGAATGCTTGATCTGTTGAGGAAGGTTTCACATTTTAAAAATCCGTTCTCGGCGAGCACAAGTGGATTGATCCACCATCTAACACAGAGTGCATTTATTAGTCTTGAACCCAAACGTTCCGGTATCGTCCACGCAAACAAACTGCTGCTTAACAAATGCAGTCAACTTGTGGTTATTTGTAATTGGAAAAAGTTCAAGGACGCATTAACCGGAGCCTTCCGAGTCCTTGCCTTTCTCCGACTGTTTCAAGTACAGGTACTGTTGAAACTTCTTGAGTTTGACGAGAGGATGTCTCATGAGCCATCCATTGCCCAGATCCTTTCCGTGCTCGCGTTCCAACTCTACGGCTTCATCGTATAGTTTGTCAAAATCAAACGAGGGATCAATCTGGGTACCTCGATAGAACCAGATACCTTTCTCCCAGTGACGATAGGTGATACCGACACCGGTGGCCATTTTCTCCACTTGTCGCATAGCTCTTCGACAGTTGGTCTCTGAGATATGGTCTACTTGGACCAAGAAATCTTGGAATTGGTTCACCCAATTGGGCAAATGCTCCAGTTTGGCTCGATCTTCGTCGGTCAACTCGACCGCGCGGTGACTAAGCTTACTACTCTTTTTACTAGAAACTTTTGGCAAGTCGTCTTCTACTAATCCTTGTGGATTGGATGGTGCCACGGAACGGAGACGGGCGGACAATCGAGATGGGGCCGTCTTATTGCTTTGAGTTTGTTTCTTATTGCTCCGTTGGTTCTTGTTCCTGCTGGCATTCTCCTTGTTCATGGCCTCAATCTTGTCCAATTCAAATTTCTGGTGGAGATACCGCCGATTGGCCACCGACAAATCTTGGTAGGTATAGTACTTGCCATCTTTTCCCTTGTGATAGGCTTTGCTATTCCTCTTGGGCTTTTTCGCGTAGCCCTTGGGGACTCTTCTTTTGTAGGATTCCACCACCGCCATGGCGTGTTGATTTTTTGAAATTCTGAGGGAGAAGGAAACCGTCTCTTTGTAGATGGCGCGAAGTTAACCCCTAGCCCTACCAAAACGGAAAGATCCAAAGATAGGTATTTTCAGTGAGGAGTAGCATGGGTATCGCTAAACTCAGTACGAAATTTTGATACAAGACTGGTAAATTTGTTCCCACCATACGTCAGCAAAATTGTCCTACAAGACCAGGAGACTTATTCGGCGAGGTGCATCGTATGCCCCTCAAATTCAAAAGCTTGATTCAGCCTCACAATTTGATCTCCGTACAAAAGATCGCGAAACGCCGTCAAGTCATTGGATTGGATTCGTACTACACAGTCAACTACAGCAAAGCTAGTAGCTCATCATGCTACATACTGCTAGTGAAAGTTTTAAGAGGTGGCTAGATGTTAACAGTCGCTACCCATTCAATGAGATTCGGAAGATAGAGCATTGAAAGAGAATGGACATTTGACAACCTCCCCCTCAACAGGAAGCTGAGTCTGGGTGGTTTTGCTGCTCTCCTTTTGGGACCTTTGTTTGTAAAGACGACTCCTTGGACAACATATGGTAATGTGATTCCGCCTCTTATCGAATCCCTTGTTTTTGATACGGAATCCAGCAGTCTTGCAAGAAATTACAAAGTATGGCATCAAAAATTCTTTAATATGCGCCGGATAACAAGATTGATACATCGATGGTAGCCAATACACCGTCTATTTCTCCATTCGATAATTATCGAACCCCAGAGTATCCATAATTTTTATCTCCTTTGGTGTATAATCAGTTAGTGAGGTTGCTACATTCGCAATGATTGAAGCAGGAGTCCATTCTTCGTCATTGATATTGTATCTAGCAACATGGGAGAGTTCAGATAGTTAAGAGTCCATTTTACTTGATTAGCTGTCAGGTATTATGGACTGCAACAGTGCATCTTCCTCTCTGCCTCCCAACCACCTAGCAAAACACCTGGAAAAAAAACTTAGCAAAAATTCGTCACTATGTATATACGTATAACACGTACAACACATAATACATGTAATACGTATAATATTTTTCCACTTGTGTTACTTGTGTTGTACGTATGACTTGTCTAATACATATTAAAAAGGTTATATGTGTAATTCGTATGATCTGTAGAATACATAGTGAAAATGTTATACGTATAATACAACCGCGTGCGTTTCAGGGGCTCTCCATTGTCTATGACTGTCATTCGTCCATGCCAATAGAGGAGCTCTCCAAGCTCTCAAGGAGTGTCAAGGGATCAAGGGAGAGGCAGCCAGCTACCGGTAGTGGTACAGCTTGTGATTGGGGGTTCAGTTCGATAAGGCGATACGGGGACGATGCAGTCTTTGTGCCAGCAGCCATAGCAAGCACAAAGCTGGCACCCCCTACGCCCATTAATATCCACCTACTTCGAGTAGTTAGCACTCATTACCTGCCCACACTGTGGCCCTGCGACCGCCGATGTATTTCGCACAGGATGGATGGAGGCAAGAATGTGTACGTGTCACCTAATGCGTCCTATGGATGTTTGATTCATTGTTCGGCTTTCGATGCAGTGAGAGACTCTCAGAATTGTTATGGGTAGTGAGAGAGTCGAGGAGCAGGTCTCCAGTAGATTGGAGCAGCGAGTGGACTTGAGCAATTCGCGTGTGTGCGGCGTTGAGATCACGGCAGTGGCGAAAGTCGAAATGAGAGAATGTCATGCTAGTCATATCCGTCCTCTATGGATTACTAGCGGCTTCACATACTCGTCATGAACCATGTGCATCTGTGGGCTATCAGCACAATTTTGGTTAGTTGACCACTAATGTTATGCTGTGAGTGGAGCATTATGTCGGAAATAATTCTCGAGGTCTTTCCCCCTCAGATGGTTCCTGGCCGTTAAAAAGAAGCAAGTCATCCCGTACACTTCAAGATAGTCTGGCGTTTGAATCAGGGGCCCATGGGGATATAGCCACACGTCGATTTGTGACACAAGGTCAAGCAGATAGCCTAACACAGGAATTAATCCTTCATTGGCGCGAGAGGACAGCAATTCCCAAGACCAAGGGCGGGTCCCAAAAGGAACAATTCTCAGGCCGGGATCGGGCTTTTTTGGAATACTCTCAAGCGAGATTGATTGTTGGGCTGGAGTGAGCTATTGCTGGTTGCTGGGTGTGGGACTAGAAAGGTGCAACAAAGGGCAGCATCGTTTTGCCAAAGGGTGATCTGTATTGGTAAGCGTTTTATGAGGCTATTGTTACTGTGTGACATGTTTGACTTGTTGGACTAACAAGCACACTAATCGCTACATGTTGTTCGCTTCCGATTTTCTTTTCAGACATGATACATATTCAAGGCATTGAGTATGCATAAACTCCATTGTGTGCAGTGAGAGAAGCCCTGTGAATTATGTACTGCTGGCTACTGATCACAATTCCACTCAAGTTGTGCTTGTGGCTTGCTGCCAGCACAGCAGGTGTCAAACGATGAACTCCGATTCTGTAAAGTAAAGAAGTACTGTTTGGCTTCCCACTCCCATACACCAAACTGATTATAGAGAGCATCCCTCATAAGTGGCTAATACTATCATTCTGGCAACAACGCTTTCTTTGTCATAGGATCTCCTTCCTCCACTACAAAAGCAAGCAGAGCAAGGACATCATTTTTGTACCACTCGGGGGCAGAGGCTGCTGGCTCACCTCGGCCATCGGGCAGTCATGGTATGCCGAATCCAGAGTCATATCAGGTGTCAATGGGCAGGCCAGGCTTTTTCTTGGCGCATTATGAGTGTGCTCAGTATTCATGCACTTAGAAGGTACTTTACCTTTAGACAGAAGTACTGAGCTGTAGCCTGTTTGCCCTGTCAGTTCATGCTACAAACCTTAAAACATACTTGATGGGTTGTGCCAGTCGAGGCTCTGGGGCCTGGGTCCTTGGGGCCGAATCTCAATTTTAAGAATGGGTAGCGAATGTTAACATCTAGCCACCTCTTAAAACTTTCACTAGCAGTAAATGTAGCATGAATGAGGCTACTAGCTTTGCTGTATGTTGACTGTGTAGTAGGCGAATGCCAATCCAAGTGACTTGGACGGGCGTTTCGGCGAATATTTGTAGGCGCGAGATCAAATTGTGAGGCTGAATCAAGCTTTTGAATTTGAGGGGCATACGATGCACCTCGCCGAATAAGTCTCGCGGTCTTGTAGGACAAATTTGCTGACGTACGGTGGGAACAAATTTACGAGTCTTGTATCAAAATTTCGTACTGAGTTTAGCGATACCCATGCTACTCCTCACTGAAAAAGGTACGGGGCTAGTTAGCTTTGGGATCTTTCCCGTTCTTGGTAGAGGCTAGGGGTTAGACTTCGCGGGCGCATCTACAAAAGAGAGCGTTTGGCGCTTCTCCCTCAGAATTTCAAAAAATCAACACGCCATGGCGGTGGTGGGATATGCCCTAGGAGGAGGAAAAAAAAAAAAAAAGAGAAGAAAAAAGATGCCTACAAAAGTAGAGTCGCGCCAAGGGCTAAGCAGCGAAAAGCCCAAGAGGAATATGCCGCCGGGAGGGCCTACTCACGAGAGTGGAGGGGCAGAAAGGATGGGCAAGGGCTACTTGGTAGGGCCGCGTACCAAAGATTTGTCGGTGTGGGGCGGGCAATGCGGGTGCGTAAACAGTCCCACCCCAGAAAGTTTGAGATTGGAGCAAGATTGAGGCCATGAAACAGGAGAGCATGGCGCGCCCAGGCAGGAACATGCGAGCGCAGGAAGCCAAACGGAGGGCAATAAGAAATCAAAACTCAAAGGCATCAAAAAAGAGCAGGCCCGGCGGGCATCGTCGATTGTGCCGGCGGGCCGCGTCTCCGTTGCGGCGTGGGCACGTCGCGGGAGGCGCCGGCGATCGGCATCCAACAAGGGGCGGGGCTTGTTGTTTGTTCTGGCTGGTCACTTAAAGTTCGGGGCGAGACGCGAGGAGGACGACTTGCCAAAAGTTTCTAGTAAAAAGAGTAGTAAGCTTAGTCACCGCGCGGTCGAGTTGACCGACGAAGATCGAGCCAAACTGGAGCATTTGCCCAATTGGGTGAACCAATTCCAAGATTTCTTGGTCCAAGTAGACCATATCTCAGAGACCAACTGTCGAAGAGCTATGCGACAAGTGGAGAAAATGGCCACCGGTGTCGGTATCACCTATCGTCACTGGGAGAAAGGTATCTGGTTCTATCGAGGTACCCAGATTGATCCCTCGTTTGATTTTGACAAACTATACGATGAAGCCGTAGAGTTGGAACGCGAGCACGGAAAGGATCTGGGCAATGGATGGCTCATGAGACA